CTGCCTAAATATGAACACATATATTTTTTCTGCCTTTAGTATTTTTTTGATTTGGTTGGTTGTTTGTGTTTGGTTTTTTGTTTTTTTTTAATGTGGACATTTAATGCAAAATAAGGCATGATGTCAAATCCCTCAGATTCTTTAAATGATGGCCAGAAGAACCACTTGTACAGATGTACTCTGTTTGCATTATAGTTTAAGTTTGCTGTAGTCTGATAGAACTTTGGCCAGGCTCCACAAAACTTTGCAGCTGGCTGCTTGGATTATGTTTAGCAGCAAATTATATGAGATAGCCTGGTAGTATTTGTCTATGAATTAATGCCAGTGAAACAACATAGGTAGGCAATTGCACAGGTACACACAAACACACATTCATAGGATTGTAAATAAACAGATTTCACAGGCACCAGTGTAACTCTATTAACTGCCATGTTGTTCCTCCTTATTTACAACCGTGTGAGTGAAAGTTTACTGACTATCATGTTTGTTTCAGATGAGTAAAGGCTGAAACATTAACTATCTTAAATATATCAAACTGGACTACTTTAATACTGATTATTGAAATATAGAAATATCCCATCCTTTTTCTTCCTGTCCCCTCCCCTCTGAAAATACAATGCTTGGTCTTGCAGCCATGCACATACACATAGTATTTGTGTGAGGCTGCTTGAAAATACAAGTTTGGCTGATATACTCATGCACAGATTATAATTTCTTACTTTTATGTATGTGTTAATTGTCATTAATTTGATGTCAAATATATAGCTGAATAAAAGAGACTAACTGTCTTGGGTAGTTGAAATAAAGAGTAAATTTGATGAAGTAATGGTGTTACTCCTGAGTCTGACTGTTGTAAGAGAAATGTTATATGATACACACCCTTATGAGACACTGCTTCTTGAATACATAATCTGACTTTCTGAACAGAGCTACCTTGCCAGTACTTCTGCATTTTCCCTTTACCTTACTCACACTGGAAGGAGGAAAACTTCATTTTTCTTTCACCTTCAGTGACTCTAGAGGCGAAAAATTCCTTGGTCATCACTGATCCTAGTGCTGTACTTTATGAAATTTATATACAATTCCAGAAAGTGTGCTAGAAATTGACTTTAGGGAATCTATTAAACTTGCGAGTGTGGCATGTTCCCAGGTTTAATTTATGGTTTGCAGAAATATGGGATATTCATTGTTGTCCTTTTTCTACTGTTAGGAATTACACATGTGTGTGTATGTGTCTGAATTTATCATTTAGTCCATACAGAAGGTAGGGTCAACATTGACTAACCGTGTAAAATATATACCTCAAGCTACTTTTATTTTGAAGCATCTCAAGCTGGAGCAATGTAAGATTACATGAACTTAGATCAAGAAGGGATCAGTGCTCTCTGCTTCCTTTAAAATGTGAATTCTAAACAGCAGAATTGATAGCAACAGCTTTCTCATCCTGCCTTTTTCTTCCTCTTTGGATCATGTTGTGTGTGTGTGTGTGTATGTGCATGTGTGTATTTATATAAGTTTGTATGCCACTGTTCTCAAATATATTATTTCTGGCAGTACTATGATAGGGTGATTGGATAGAAAAAGTGCTCAAGAGCCTCTAATAGATTTCAACCCAGTCTGCCTGCTGCTCTGTTTTGCACTGAGTCAAGTATTTTTTTAAGCTGATAATTGAAAACCTATCTTGTTCTTACAGAATGGTTTTGCTGTTGTAAGGCCCCCAGGCCATCATGCTGAAGAATCAACAGCCATGTAAGTACCAGGGAATATTGCCCATCTTGGAGCACTAAGGTTACTGGCAATCACCTGTGTTGTGCATGTCTCTGAAGAACTGTAATTGTTAGCAGATGACTGGAAAGGCTTTCTAGGTACTCCCAGAAGCAGATTTATGGCCTCAGAGATCATATAGCATTTTTTAAAATGCTCTGAACATTATTTATAGCTGTTTTCCTGACTGATTTGCTTTCTTATTTCTGTTCTTCTCTATTCCACAGGGGGTTCTGCTTTTTTAATTCGATTGCAATTACTGCCAAATACTTGAGAGACAAGCTAAATATAGGCAAGATATTGATTGTAGATCTGGTATGTATTCTTGGCAAACATCGCACTTTCAGTGCATCTAGATAAAAGATAATGAATTTGTATTTATATGTCAGACTTTCCTGTTTTTAATACCTACAAGTAATAAAGGTGTGCATTTCCGCTGATTTTGGGAACTCATTAAAGCCAGGATGGCAGTACTGAAGCCATAAACATCTATGTTTCACTTTAATGGTGTTAACTGCAATTTAATGAGAAGAAGGCACAGATCAGGGCAACTTTTATGGTCCTTAAATGAATTGATACTTCCACCGTTAAAATAACCCTACAGCCCAAGTTTA